CTGTTGGGGTGTTTTGCTGCCAACCAGGGTCAAAACCACAACACTGTGTCACACATTTCTTTCATCATTCTGAACCTGACACCCAGAGAAAGAGTCTTCCTGGATTAGTCCCACTGGGGAGGGCTAGATCTCTTCTTCGGCAATATCATTCTCAAAATTCAAGTGAAATACAAATTTGCCGTATCCTTGACTGCATCCTAAGCTATCATTGTCTTTATGTTTAATCATTAATAAAATATAACTTCTTTTGGTCATTTTTCCAGGTGTTTTCTTCCCCTCCATTTCAAAATGGCTGATCCTCTTCCTGGCAATTTTATGTCTTAGCCTGGTCGTATTTTCCACCGTGTTTTCTAAGCTGAGAAGTAAGTATTTCTTGGTACGTTATCAAGTCAACGTATAGAAATATCACAACAGTTCCTATAGACTGTAACAAAAACTCACAAGCAAAATCACCAAATTCAGGAAACGGGACAAAAAAGGGATGGGAAAGCGCAAAGTGTGAACCAGGAGGAAAGAAAATTGCACGTCCTTTAGGTACAACAAAAGAATTTTGCGAGATAAACTACGGGTGTAGTTCCCTTTCTGTAATCATTGGGGTGATAACTCAATGGCAAATCAGAGATCTGATTTCTGTTGGTATTACTCTACAAAAACATGCAAAAAAAGGTTGTGTTTCTTTATTTTATTTTTTTTCTCCCTTAACCAGGCAATCAAAAGAAAACACTTAGCACAGGTAAGTAATGAGGAAGATGAATACAAAGATTTGGACAATTTGTAAGTTGGAAGGTTAAATTTTAATTCTGTTAAATTGCAAAACTAATTAACAGTTTTAGTTGCATCCAAATCAGTAGTTTTTAATTGGATTTTTGCACTACACAATATAGTAAGTTCCTGTCTGAGTTTTTTTTTTTTTTTTTAATTTATGCTTTATAAACTGTCTGTTTCCTCCTTTTGTTAAGCTCTGGTCATTACTGTATTCTGACTCCCATACTCTACCATGTCATACATATTCAAGCTTTGTTTGTAATTGCTCAAGAGTTAATTAATTGATCAGAAGCATCCCTCCAATTCTTTAGAAGAGAAACCAAATTAATTAACCAAATGAATTAATGAACCAGTCAAGAGCAATTCAAGGATCCAACCCAAGGCCATCTCAAGACTCCAAAAGCAACTTACTCTTTGAATACATGTTTGATACTAGTGATAGGATGAGGAATAATGGTTTTAAGCTCAAAGAGGGGAGATTCAGACTGGATATTGGGAAGAAATGTTTTCCTGGGTGGGGGGTGAGGCAGTGGCCCAGGTTGCCCAGAGAAGCTGTGGATGCCCCATCCCTGGAGGGGTTCAAGGCCAGGCTGGATGAGGCTTTGGGCAACCTGGGCTAGTGGGAGGTCTCCCTAGCCATGGCAAGGGGTGGAACTGGATGATCTCTAAGGTCCCTTCCAACCCAAACCATTCTGGGATTCTATGATTATTCAAAAAAATTAATTAACCAAATCATTTTCTTCCCTGAGGGACATCTGGTTCTGTTCCCCGACAAGGTTTGGCACTGGAGGATGCACATGCCCGTGGGGCCAAGAAGGGATTTATTCCTGGTCTCTGAACCTCAGTTAGGCTACAGTTGGGATGAGAAGGCTGGACATTAGGAAAAATTGTTCGCTGAAAGAGTGATCAGGCATTGGAACAGGCTGGCCAGGGGAGGGGGGGGGTCCCCCATCCTGGAGGCAAGAACCATGTAGATGTGGCGCTTGGGGACATGGGTTAGTGGGTTGGGTGGGGTTGGGTTGATGGTTGGACTTGATGATCCTTGAGGTCTTGTCCAACCTTCATGATTCTATGATTCAATGACTGGGTGTCTTAGAACACTACCTAATTTTTTGTGAACTCTATTAGAAATGAGACATGTTTTTGTATAAAAAATAAGAATTCTTTGGACTAAGAAGAAGCCTTGGGAAGTTTATTGGGTTAAATTAAATTAAAAGTTTAACCCCACTTATTTCTGTTTGTAGACTGTTGTATGACAAGGGTTGTATACAAGAATAATTAACATTATGATCCATTTTCTTCACTTTTCAGTAAAACTGCGGATGGAAATGGAAGAAGGTAAAAGTCCTTTGTGTTTGCAATGACACTAAGATGTTCAGAGTTCTAAGAGATGTAAATTCAGGGAAACAATATTCGAATGTTGATTTTTGATACAGCGATTGCAGGAGTGGCAGCTCTTTTCGGTAATAAGGAAACAGTGACAACCACACGTCATATCCCACATGAGGTCTATTCTCTAGTGAAAGTTGCAGATGTTGACAAGGAATTCACGTGGGCCAACAGTGACCTTTTTGAAAATTCCAATAAAATCTCTGCTGCTGGGTGGAAATCTCCTAGCAAGCTTCTAACGCTCCTTCTCTTCCTGGCGACCACTATTCTGCCTTTTTCAAGATTATTCAGAACTATCTTTAGTTAGCGAAGTGGCCCTGTCAACCCTGAGAACTTTATTTATGGGTCTCCACTGAGATCTTGGATCCCTATGGCTCAACCCACTTGGGTACATATGGGCGCCGTGGGTCATTTGTGATGTCCTTGGTCATCCCACTTGTCTCCTAGCTGCCATCCTGGAAGGACGCAGATAGGTCACCGATCTTTGGTTGCATCTGGCAGATACAATGGGAACTTCTAGAGGAGATCAGAGATCTTTCAGAGAGACCCCAGAGCACCTCAAACACACTAGGTGGCTACACATCTGAATATCCCTCATAAATTTGTCAATTGAGGCATAAACAGGCTTTGAAAGAAGTCCTCTACCAGCAATACAAAGAAATCTTGTTGCCACCCTGAGTTATGGAAATAATAACTTCATGACTTGTCTAAAGATAATAAAGTTGAAATAGTGTGATACATTCACAGGTTAATTTGTTGAATGGGATTTTCATTTACTTAAAGCAGTTGACAGTGTTATCCAACGACACGCTCGTTATATGGTTACGTGGTTCATATATTTTTGCGTGCATTAAGGCGCTCTATCAAAGAACTTTCGCTGATATCTGTGTCTTGTCTTTTCCAGAAAGAAACCAACTGAATTCAACGTTAGGTAAGATGCTTTTCTTGTTCCTTGAGTTCAATTGTCTTTGTTCTAAAGTTATGTCCACCTTGGGGTTTTTTGGGGGTTGGTTGGTCTGAGTTTGATGGTGCTGTTTAATGTCCTTAAGCATTTAAAATGAAATGCAAAGCTCAGCTGAATCAAACCATTTTAATGGGAAAAACTCCAGGCATAGTCTGAGATATTTCCTTTTTTTCTTTTTTTTTTTTTTTCCTTTTTTTCCCCCAGAAAATAAAGGCTTTAGGTATTGTAGAATTTCTGCTTGTGCTTAGCTGTAAGACAATCTAGTAGAAAGTGTGTTGGATGGATTTGTTCCCCACGGAAACGACAAAAGTTTAAGGCTTTATGGAACAAAAGTAACTTTTAACTTCCAATCTATATCCAATAAATACTCTGTTAATATTATTTCTTTTATTCCATGTGCCGAACTTTTCAGAAGGAGAGAAAACCAAAAATCGAGCAGGTAAATTTCTTTTTCTTAAAATATTCATTGAGAGTGGGTGCTGTCCAGCCTCAGTGGAAATTAGTTACTCTAATTATCTTATTTTTATTTTAAATAAACTTCTCAGAAACGTTATTAGAGGTAATTACACGGCAAAGAGGCTGATGATATTTACTTCTCTACCTACATGTGCAGGATGCGTTGCTCCTTAGCCGCTGCTGACAGCCCACTGACACCTCTTGAGGCTCCGCATTAGGTTATTTTTCTCTCCCTTGTGGTTTCACAGAATCATTTTGGTTGGAAAAGACCCTTGAGATCATCGAGTCCAACTGTTAACACGACCAAGTCCACCACTAAACCATGTCCCTAAGTGCTACAACGGAAAATTTCACCCAACCCAAACTCTCAGCTCAGCTTTCTCATCCTCTCCTCCTCTTCTTGCGTTACTAAGAAAAAACTATAAATATTTTTATCCCACCAATGTAATGATAAAATTCTCCCATATAAGTGTCCACACATAAGGAACAACTGGGGATGTAATTCTAACGTCTTTCTCACAATTTTTTTTTTTTTCCCTTGAGTTTTTACATCACTCATTGATGTTATTCCTTTTCAGCAAAGTCCAAACTCAAAAAACGCTTTGGTAAGAAAACACATTTGATGTAAACCTGTCGTTCTTGTCAAGTTTAGAAACCACGAGACAAGTCTACAGGTGAGTAAGTCTATGTTATCCTTGGATTTGAAGCCAAATAACATGGTGAAACATCAGCCTATGGAGAGCAAGGTGCCCCTGCCCATGGAACTAGATGGTCTTTAAGGTCCCTTCCAACCCAAACCGTTCTAGGATCTTACGATTGTATGGATATTCTCCCATTCCATGATTTGGGGTTCTCCTATTTTGGAAAATGGGAACAACAAAAAAAAAAAGTAAGCAAGATTAGTAACTGGAATATCTTTCCTTTTCAGCTCGATTGAAGGCAGAGCTGGGTAAGTAGTTAAAAATGTTAAAAATTGGATATATCGGTGGGTTAAGAGGAAGAAGACCAAAATTGATGCAGAATCCCAGTGATGACAAGAATTGCACGTTAGTAGTCTTCTCAGTATTTCAGTCTGAGAAGTATCTAACTGCACTCTAAAAAATATAATAGAGTAACGTCCGTTTTCTTTCTGTAGATTTCTGGGAAGCCCGGAGCCACGCAGGTAAGCTGGCAGGGAAAATTCAATTTTCATCTCTCCAAACTACCCTGAAATGACAACGCCGTGAAGTTAGAGATATACCAGCTGAGCTGGAGTCACGGGAAGATGCCGGGCTTGGATAACGGGAAACGAGGCTGGGATGGGGTTGCTGGGAAGACGAAGAAAAGGAGTTGGTGGAAGGTGTCAGAGTCTGGGGTGGGGTGTGGACGCAACTGGACTCTTGATCAGGGGGTGTAGCGACAGGACGAGGGGTAACGGCTTTAAGCTGGAAGAGGGGAGATTGAGATGAGATATTAGGAGGAAGTCTGTTCCTATGAGAGCGGTGAGGTGCTGGCCCAGGTTGCCCAGAGAAGCTGTGGATGCCCCATCCCTGGAGGGGTTCAAGGCCAGGCTGGATGAGGCTTTGGGCAACCTGGGCTAGCGGGAGGTGTCCCTGCCCATGGCAGGGAGGGGAACTGGATGATCACAAAGGTCTCTTCCAACCCAAACCATTCCATGATTTTATAAACTCTGGAGAGGACGGGTGGCCAGATGGGAAAAAGAAAGAGATTTATTGCAAAGCGTGTGGACTTGTGCCTCGAGAAAGGACACGGCTCGAAGGTGCCTCTCCATTCATCAGTGATGGCATCCCCTGTTCTGGGGAAGGTTTAAATTCTTTGCTGAATCGTGACAGGACTGCCCAGACCCTCCAACGCTTCAACCCGCAGCCCCGTGTGGAGAGAGGTCCCGGAGCCACTCTGCTCATCGGGTGATTCTGGTTTTCCCCTCCAGTTCCCGTCACCGTGGATCCTGACGGCCGCATCCTGGAGCTCCAGGTGCCCGGGGTTCCAGATGTACAGAGCAACGCGTCCGAACCCACCGGCCCCAACGCTCCCTCCACGGTGCCGGTGCTGGTGGGGAGGGAAGGGTTTGCAACTGGGAAACACTACTGGGAGGTGGAGGTGGGCCAGCAGCAGGACTGGGTGCTGGGGGTGGTGAGGAAGACAGGGGGACAGGAGGAGGAAGGGACCCTTCCTGGGGAGGACTACTGGGCTCTGCACAGGTCCCAGGGAGAGATTTTCTCCAGCGAAGGAGACCGCAGGCTTGAGAAGCGGCAGATGAGTTATTCGGTGATAGGTGTGCTTCTGGACTTGGAGGAAGGGCAGGTGAACTTTTACGAAGCCGAGCAGACGGGCATCATGGTGAGAATGTCTCTGAGGCTTGGAAAGGAACCTGCAGAAAGGTTTTACCCGTTTCTATCTAAAGGGGAAGGGACGCTCACACCTCTTATCCACCCGGTCTTAATCCCTGTCCCTCTGGAGCCGCTGTAAAAGGAAATTTTGAATCAAACGTGTTGGAGAGTTAAAGTTCTCTGCCAAGAGGTCAGGGTTGAGAGGAGGAGACACTAGAATAGCTTTAGGATGTCAGAAATTATAAAATAAAGAGAGTAGGACTGGGAACAAAACAGGGAAACCTGAAAAAATGGAGAAGTAATGACAGAAAATTACAGTGTCTCAAAATAGAAAAAAAATGCACTTTGAAGGAAAGGAGCTTTTTAATATTATTTGTTCTCAACTGCGAGAACAGAGAAAGTCTTTACTGGTTGCTTTTTGGTGGAGAATATTCTCAAAGAAGTGCATAAACTATCGAAAAAAAATAAATTACTCTTGTAAGTAAGTCCAGGACAAAGAAAAAAAATCCATTAATTGTTCCTTCTGAATGATCTAAGAATGGATACAAAGAAAATTGGTGCTTGAAGTAAAAAAGGAACATCAGAAGCATTGGATCATTTAGTTAAACCGTTCAAATCATTATGATTATTATGGAATTCCACCTTCTGCCCTTGTAGAGGTGCCGATACGTTCTCTGTTGTCTCCAATTAGAACATGGTTGGGTGACAAAGATTTTTTTTTTCCCATTTGAATCTGGTTTTTACTCCTCATTTATGCAACCTTGAGCATGTGTTTCCCTCATCAACTCCAGGATGAATCTAAAGTTAAAAAAAAAAAAAAGTTAATTCTCTGTGGAAAAAAAATCTGCCATGGAGAATCGGGGAAAAAACGTGTGACTAAATGCCTGAAGGTCTCATCGAATGTGAAAATGTTCCACAAAACCTTTATAATAAACAGCACATCTGTTTATTCATACCATCTGCAATTTCTTTTCATTTTATTTCATGTTTTCACATGGTTCAATTTTGGAGGAGAATAAAACTTTTTTTTTTTTTGCATCTCTGAACTATTTGTTGTGAAAAAAATTCAGAGCTGCTTGTGTCAAAATAGTCGAATTCCAGTTAGAAATTGTATTTTTTTGGGTTTACATGGCAAGATTTTAGTAGTTGGAGGTGGGGTGGCCTGTGTCAGAAAAGGGTTCTGGGCTCCAGAGCAGACACCACCCTACAGCCCGTGGAAATTTTGGAAGAATCCATGATGACGCAGGTGTTTCATAGAATCATCAAATGGTTTGGGTGGGAATGAAACTTAAAAGTCATCAAGTTCCACCCCCTGCCATGGGCAGGGCCACCTCCCACTAGCCCAGGTTGCCCAAAGCCTCATCCAGCCTGGCCTTGACCCCCTCCAGGGATGGAGCATCCTGATCTGGGTGGATGGCACGGAACAGACTGATGGAAAACCGCAGTGGGATGCCTCCCACCATGCATGGGTCTTGACACAATCGATAGTCCGTGGAGCTTCAAAAATCCATGCAAGAACCTGCCTCCTGATCTTTTTCATCCCTTCAGAGTCTTTCTCGAGATCACAGAA